GTGGTGCGATACCGAATATGCCTTCTACGAAGGCTCTTGGATGACCCGGGAGCAGATCCTAGAGCAAGTGGCAGCCCACGGCTGTCCGCTGGTGGAGCTGACCGGCGGCGAGCCCTTGCTGCAACCCGGTGCTTTTCCCCTGCTCACCGAGCTCTGTGACGCGGGTTATGAGGTTTTGGTGGAAACCGGTGGCGGGGTCGATATCTCCGCCGTCGATCCGAGAGTGCGTCGAATCCTCGACGTCAAATGCCCGGCCAGCGGTGAGTCTCAGGCCAACCATTGGCCGAATCTGGAAGTCCTACGCCCCACCGACGAGCTCAAATTCGTCGTTGCCGACGAAAACGACTATCGATGGGCGATCGACTTGGTCCGATCTCGGAATTTGAGCGAGGTCTGTCCGATTCATATCTCGCCGGTTCACGGCACGGTCGATCTGCAGGCTTTAGCGGGCTGGATCTTGCAAGATCGGCTTCCGATCCGTCTGCAGCTCCAAATGCACAAGCTGGTTTGGAGCCCTGAAACCCGTGGCGTCTGAGCACCGGGCCTCCCCTCCTCTACATCTACATCCGCCGGATCCGCGAATCGGATAGCATTCAGGTGAATCTTCACCTGTTTCAGCCCGGAACACTCCCGGCTAGCATTCGGTCGTCGTTCACCGAGGGATAACCTCCGTTCACCGACCGACAAGAACACGGCTCATCCCAGGGCGTAAGACCCTTGAACGCGACACGTCCCGTCTGGACGTGGGTCGAATGTGAGCTTTTGGATAAGGAACCTATTTCCTATGGCAGATAGTGACGATCGTTCCGGTAGGCCGGACCTCTCCGTTTTGAGGATGGATCCGGAGGAGCTCGAAGAGCGCAGAGGCGCCGGTTGGTTGGGCTGGGTCTTGGGCCTTGCCCTGTTGGTCGCCGCAGGCTACGGAGTGTGGGCGTACGTGCCCCTTTCTTTTCTCTTGCCGGAAGTGGAAACGGCATCGGTGCGCATGGAGACGCCGACCCAAAAGTCCACGGTGCTCACCGCCACAGGTTATACCTACGCGAGAAAAC